CCTAAAATTCAATCCTAAGTGGGAAATATCATAGCAACTACTGAAGTTTAGTTTACAAAGTTAGATTCCAAACAATGAAACAAAAATCAAGTCCTACTACGTGAACAAGCTAGGAATTCACTGACGACGGAGTAGCTTACGTGGTTGTCCGAACTCTGAGCTATCTACTTCCTGGGGGCGCAAAACAGTAAAGATGTGAGTGGACAAAAAAGAAAGTTTTTTCGAAAATAAATATACAGAACATACTAACCTCTCTGTTTTCACAAACCTTTGAAACTCACTTATACATTTGTAAATACACATACAGGAATGAGATATGAAATTTACAAATATGTGTAAAACATACTTGGAATTAACTGGTAAGCAGAAATACAATTAACACAATCTTTATTTCAAAACATCAATTTAAATCCAACACATCGAACAATCGTTCAACAGAAATCAAGTTTCAAACCATTTCTTTGAATTCAATCAAACCTGAAAGCCCAAAATACAATTCAACCGGATTCTAGTTTCAATCCAATTCATACAAAAACTCTCCATCCAAGTATACCTATGGGGAAACTGACCAACCTTATGTAGACAAGCGGCAGGGTGGCAGGGGAAAATCCTGGCGGGACACTTGTATTTGTGATATGATCAGTGCAGGAAATTCACTGGCCAGAGACCTACAAAAGCAGGTACAAGCAATACACTGGCCAAACACCTATAGAGTAATCAAACTGCAGGTACAGGAAAACCACTGGCCGGACACCTACGTAATAAACAGAGGTACAGGCAATCCTGGGCGAACACCTGTATATTAAACACAGTTACAAGCAAAACTAGTCATGTGCACAGAATCTACCGAAGGCAACCAGGGATAGGTACCTAAGGTGGGTTTGAAAATCCATTTCCCAAAACTTTGTCATAAAAATTGCTTTTTTCCACCAATCAACTTTCCATTCTCAAATTCTTTATTAGTTTTCTCAAAACAATACGAAATCCTTTCAAAACCATTCAAAATTCCAAGTATACATCGATAAATAATTAAACAAATGAAACCCCTTTTTTAACCCGAGATTAAAACCCATTTCACTATTTGACTTCCAACCAATAAAAATCTTATTAAAACATTCTCAAAGTAAATCCGAACAATAACCCACAATTAAAATCCTTACTAAATATTTAATTAACAATCTCACATATTTACCACCGTTAAACATATATAACCATTCACAAACATTTTCCCAAACTTCCCAAGCAAATCACGTTTATCAACATGCATAATTGTTTAAAGTCATTTAGAACCAAACTGAACGCTTGGAAAAATGAAAACCCAACTTACATCATCCATAAACATTTAATAACTCTTTAGTTGTAAAAACCATCATAGCAAGAAGGAAATTGTCAAAACCATAATTAAAACATAATTAAATTACTTCCGCCCAAAACCAAATGTTCGGAAAGTAAACACAGGAAACAATCAGTTCTTAAAACATTTCATGCAAGCATCATTTCATAAAAACTATTTATAAAATAAATGTCCACTCACACACTCAACCCTCTGCAGTTTCGTCCAGAGTGCTTCGTTGCGCCAAAGAACCTATTTGAGAGAATACCAAAATTAACTGAATAATCAAACCCAACACTAAACTTTAAATCAATACCCTTGCTCTCGGGACTCTCAGTGGGTGCATGTCCTTTAAGAAAATCCCTAAGGCTATTTTAGTACTTAACAAGAGACGAGATGGTCTCAAAAGACCCTTGGTCAACTATACGGTCAAACTAGTCATTCTGGTCAACGGGCCTGCTAGGCCCACGACTTTTGATTTCCAATCCGAAAGTTCCTATAAGTCCAACAGAGTTTACTAAACACGTCCTGAGAGTTTGGTCTCGATCGAGTGGTCGGATCATCCTCGATCGCATGATCGGACGATCATCAGTTTTCTTAACCCTCAACTCATTGATTCGGAGTATCTGGGACTCCAATTCATTCTCGATCTGTGAATTCCTACACGATCCTAGAGGTACGGGAAAAAACATACTTGGAATTGAAGCCGTTCCAACTGTCTGAACATATCGAACCCGGACATCACCTAATAGGCGTACATCTGTTCAATTGTCATACGATAACCAAATTCGATTCTTCGCATACTATCGCACTCGGGTCGACATGGGGATCAAATCAGAACACAATGGGCCACCACACCATTGCCTACGCACCGCCACACGGGCTGGTAGTGCGTGGGTGGCTTGAGAAATTTCCAGCGACGGAAATTTCTCAAATCACCCAACAATACCTACACCTGCGTGATCAGGGCAACTAGGGGAGCAACTTATACAACTGGGTCAACCTCCAATTTGGTCGGGAAGTGGCAGGAAAACCACTTCAAATACTGAAATTTTCTAGGTTTAAAATCGAACTTCCAAAACTCCAAATCGACCCAAATCAACTACCAAAACATCAAGAACACATTGAGAAGATGAAAAAGCACACCTTACTCGATGGATTTTGTTGCTAGAATCGCAGGAAACGACGATGGAAAAAGTGCAACTTTTCTCCTCGTTCCAATGGCTTCGTGGCTCGAAATCAAGGTGGAGAGGAGCGTTTTGCAAGTCGTGGCGTCAGATTTAGTGGCTGGATGACGATGCAGTCGTTGTCTGAAATTTTGTCTTCGAAACGGAGAGAGCGAGTGTCAAGGAGAGAGAAAGAGAGAGAGAGAGAGAGAGAGAGAGAGCGAGAGCTGATCTGTTTTAAAACCCAACTTCGAAAAATTTACGATTGTGCCACTGCACTTTCGTTGACCACAACTTGTTCGTTATAAATCCCCAAAATCATTCCAGATTAAAAAGTGACCAAAAAGAACCTATTTCCAAGGGCAAAATTGTAATTACACAAAAGGGATTAAATTGAATTAAATAATTAAAAATTAGGTCGGGGATGTTACAATAAGGCCATCTTTAGGGCCATAGGCCAAATATAGCCTTAAAATAATGCAAAACCCATCTCCAGCCATTGCCCAAATATATATATTTTTAAATAACCTTTTAAAATGTTTTCAAATTCGTTCTGTTATATATATATATATATAATGGTTTCTGACCGGAGGTTAGAACCATTTATTGAAAAGTTACTTTCTTAATTTAAAACCTTTTAAAATGTTTTAAATTTGTTTTGTTTAAAAATATATATATACATATACATATATATATATATATATATATATATATATATATATATATATATATATATATATATATATATATATATATATATATATATATATATATATATATATATATATATATATATATATATATATATATATATATATATATATATATATATATATATATATATATATATATATATATATATATATATATATATATATATATATATATATATATATATATATATATATATATATATATATATATATATATATATATATATATATATATATATATATATATATATATATATATATATATATATATATATATATATATATATATATATATATATATATATATATATATATATATATATATATATATATATATATATATATATATATATATATATATATATATATATATATATATATATATATATATATATATATATATATATATATATATATATATATATATATATATATATATATATATATATATATATATATGTTTTCCAACTCTTAAAACCACTCTTTGTTACATTTGTTTACTTGTTTTTGTTTGCAATTTCATTTTGCTTCTTTTGTTCAACAATCACAACCACTCTTGTTTTAAATTCTGTTTTAGACATAACCTCCTACTTTCTTGAATTTGGTAATCTAAGTACATAACTAGTTTTAATTTCTCAGTCTTCGTGGGTACGACCTCGTACTTGTTTTGCTATACTACTAATTGCCCCGTACAATTGCGACAACAGGGATTAGATACATGCTTGGTTGTTTAAATTGTTCGTCTATGCTTAATGGGTTTTTAATGCTTAATTTTAGGTTAGACAACAAATGATCAAATTAGGGAATTAGGAACACAAGGTTAGGACCAAACACCATGGCTTAATCATACTTTAGCTAGAATCAATCTTTGAATCTGAATTAGACTTGTTACTTGAATCTTTATAACCCAGAATTGAATTGTTATGGTGAATCGAATGCCCTAGTCTCAAAATCTGTTTTCCAACTCTTAAAACCACTCTTTGTTACATTTGTTTACTTGTTTTTGTTTGCAATTTCATTTTGCTTCTTTTGTTCAACAATCACAACCACTCTTGTTTTAAATTTTGTTTTAGACATAACCTCCTAACTTCTTGAATTCGGTAATCTAAAGTACATAACTAATTTGAACTTCTCAGTCTTCGTGGGTACGACCTCGTACTTGTCTTGCTATACTACTAATTGCCCCGTACAATTGCGAGTTAACATAATATTAACAACACATACCTACAGATTCATTACCAACAAAACTAATGAGAACACAAAAACAAAGTTGGATAGCAGATTTAGTCTGAAAGAAAGCCATTCAATTGCTGACACATTATGAAACCATGTCCTTGACTGGTTGTCAATAAGATTGAGATTAGTTTCATATTACTAGTTTACATACTACTTGCCTTTGGAAGTTCACTGCGTGCTGTTGCGAGCCTCGCTACTAGCAGTAGCAGGACTTTCAACAGCACATAAGCTCTTCACGAATATGCTACATAGAGTGTTCCGAAAGTCAATGGCATTTTTTGATTCAACACCAACTGGAAGAATCTTAAACTATGAAATATAAGCATATGGTTTTCAGTTTGCATTACTCTCTTGAGGGGTGACTAGAGGAAGTAGACTAAAAGATACTAAAGGAGTCAACAAATGAAATATAAAGGTCTAACCGCACCAAAAAGATATAAAGGTCCCATATGATAAAAAAGATATAAAGATCGATATGATAAAAAAGATACAAAGGTTCGATATGATCAAAAATATATAAGGGTCAGGTTCTTCTATTTCCACAATATACAAGATGAATGCAGTTATAAATTGTTTGTGCGTGCGTGTGTGTCTGTCCAAAAGTGAAGTTCATTACTAGAAAAGCTCTTTTATTTCATTTTGCAGGTATCGTATTCTTGTTGATCGGTAAAATCAGAGGACTTGAGCTGCTCCAGTGGGACTACCATTGACTCAATTTGCCTTCCTACCTATAATGAGTACATCAAACAGAAGGCTTCATTAATTATAATTCCAATGCAGACGACCATTAACAAAAGTTTGAAATTACCCATTATGAAATTAAACATTTGTGAAACATTTTGCATTGTCAGTTTTATCATATTGAACTACACTTAGTGAAGAAACAATTTTTGTTTTAAAGTAAGAAAACCAAAATCCAAAATTGACCAAACTAGTAGCAAAATTGAGCTCCATATCCATTCCATCATCACAATTATCATAATGATAAAAATCAAGCATTACCCACCAAAAAAAATCAAACCCATCAAACCAGATCAACAAAGATCACAAATGAGAATGCACGGAAATTGAGCTCACCTGAGAAGCAAAAATCCTAAGCAGAGCTCTCCTGACTCTAGAGTCCATAGCGTCAGAGATCCCCATTTGGATCCTCATAAGCTCACCCACCGTCATAACCCGCTTGGGCTTTCCGGGTCCTGACCTGGACCCACCGAACCCCAGACTCTTCTTGGAGCCCGAACCCGGCAATTTGGGACCCATTGCATTCTTCATCTTGTTGGCAGCTACATAAGTGAGCGATCTCTGCAATGCCGGCGAACCGTTGGGTGAGTTGGCGTGCTGGGTCGGTGAGTCCAAGTGAGAAGAAGCGGAAGACGATGTGAAAGCCAGGGCCTTTCCGGTGGAAGTGCGGCAGGCGGCAACGAAGATCTCGATGGAGCAAACGATATTATCGATCACGACCCTGCAAAGCAAAAGCAGCAAATGGTCAAGAGAGAGATGAATAGCGGATAGAGAAAGACAGATATGAAGAGAGATCTATGACGACGAAGTTAGGTTTTCGATTTCGATGGAGGAGTCTCTCTTGGAGGTTTGGTCGAGGGCAATAGTTGAGGGAGGTAGAGAGATGAGGAAGATTTGAGAGGGGGCCGCGAGAGTTTAGGGAGGGAATGTTTTCGAGCTTGGGGGAAATCTAAAAATTTTAGGTTGAGAAACTCACTTAAGGAGGCTAGCGTGTTTTAAAAATCGAAACAACCAAAACCGATTTAAGTGGTGTGTAAGATGGTATACTACAGCAGTTTTATAAAACCGTCGTCTTTTAAAAAAACGACGACGGTTTTAAACTTCACTGTCGTCTATTTGGTGTCGTGGTTTTACAATTTTGTAGTAGTGGGTACTCCATCTAGCCAAAGAAATGTGAGCTTTAATTTGGAGGAGGATGATGAACAATCTCCACACACTATAGAAAATTTGTCTCCAAGTCAACCACCCATCCCTAGGATGCTAGGATGAAACAAGGCAAGAAAAGAGAAGCAAAGGGCCAAGAAAAGGGATGCCAAGGCCTTTAGGGATAAAATTGTTTATGCCTTGCGTGAGTTGTTTCCAAATGCTAGTTCATCATCAGATGACTATTGTCTAGTATTCCAAAGTGAAGATGATTTTACTAATTAATATTAGTAGTCTGTGTTTTTATATTAAAGTAGTTGGTGTCTTTAATATTTAAGTTGATGTAGTCTTAAATTTGAAGTTGTTTTGGTCTTATATCATCCAGTATTCGAAAGTTGTTGTAGTCTTAAATTTGAAGTTGTTGTGAGTTGTACTCATCCTTGTATGTGAGTTGTTTCCAAACAAATAAAACAAATAAAAGTGTATCGATACTGAAAGTTGCATATTTTCATAAATGTGAGAGATGTAGGGTAAGAAATTAAAGCTTCCATAGATGTACACTACGGCTGGCCCGCATATTGTTAATTTGCGATTTCTAAATTATTCATGTGGTAGCTGAAGTGCTTATGGCTGTAGTACTCTACTTGTTTTCTGCGATGAGGGGGTTGTGGCAATTTCTAGCTCAATGGCTACAAAGATATTTTATGCCTTGCTTTAATGGCTTTGCCTGTGGTCCGTACTGTTCAAACAAATCCCAAGCCACACAGAGAAGTCATAATGAATTCAATTTATTACAACACACCACGTAAATGAAAACAAGCCACACAACTCTAAATAAAAACAAGCATAACTTGTATCTCTAAAGTAGGGGTTGACATTTGGGATATCATTTACCAAACGAAGGAAAACATGACTCCACATTCGGAATCGACATCTAAAGTCCTCAGGCGTGTAGATAGGATTTGGGATGTAGTCCATCATCAAGTTTTTATGCCTAAGAGCTCATCCCCCTGCGTTTGTTACTGCGATCAACAACAGGGCCACCCCCCAGGCCTTGTTGTTGTATTTGTTCCTGAGTCCATAATGTTGCTGCAGTAGCCGCAAGTTGTGTATTTGTGCAGATTCGAGCATAATCTTCTTCATCTTTTTCCATCATTTGGCGTCTGCACTCCTCCCATACGGAATCCAAGTTGGAACTTGAACCCTAGTTGGAATCCATTGCAGAATTGGTTGAAAAAGTGTAGAAGAATAGAGGAATTACAAAGGAATGAGATAAAGTTGTGAGATATTGAATCCAAAACACTCCATTTATTGACATTTGAAGATGAAGATAAGAGGTGCCACGTCGACAAAAATCTAATCAGAAATCTGGATAGTTGCTCCCGGACCGACACGTGTCACTCGAAAATCATATCCGAAAAATTATTAAGATTCATTCAGAATAAGACGTGCCACGTGGACACAAAATCTTATCAAAAATCTTGTTAAATGCTTATCAACGTACACTTGTCATATATGGAATATTGTCTCTAAATAGTAGTTTAATTAAATTAAACAATACATAGTTGTGGAATGTATGAGTGCTGTACCATAGTTTTTCTCAAAATAATAAAATATGAAGGGCCCTAAAACATAGCCTTGCATGGCTGGAGATTGAAAAATTTAACCCTACATTATTCTTTAAAAAATTAATATTTTGGACTACATTTAGCCATATGACTGGAGATGGAGCATCTCCAGGTGGGGAGGGCAACATTTAGCCCCTCTAAAAAATAATTTTATAGAGAATAGTGTCAGACTACATTTTAACAGTCTCCAACAACAAAGGGCTAAATTTAATATTTTAATAGTTTTTAGTACATGATGTAAATTTACTGTTTAATTTAATTAAACTAATATTTATATCCTATTTAAAATACATTTTAGAAGAGAAAAATATTTTGGGATAGGATTTTTGACTTCCACATGTTGGCACGTGATTAGGAATTGGCTCTCAATTTAGGAATTGGCCCTTTGTATAGCCATGCCATTTTTTGTAGCCCTTTGTGTAGCCCACTCCTGGAGATGGGTTTTGGGAATTTAGGGCTATAATTTAGGAATTGGCCCTCACTTGGAGATGGCCTAACCTGCACTTGGAGATGGCCTATGGTCAGTTTGCCCTGGTGGAGCTAAACTGAGTGTGAATGCTGGTTCGAGTGGAGACCATGCTCCTTATTAACTATGGCAGAGGAAACAACCTTTGCAGGTTAGAGGTCCACAGAATCATCCTTCTATGCATTCATATTTGTATCAAAAGTACGTGCTAATGTGTGTGCTATGGCGATTCTCATACTTTCAAGGTACGTGTCGGTGCTACATAAAATAACTTGGGAACTTGATACCCTAAAAAGAATGTAAAAAGAAATTGGCTTTGCGCCATATCCATGTCAAATGTAATAATTAATATATTGATGTCGGTACAAAAGAATAGGAAAAAAAGGCAAAAACTAAACATGAAAACTTTGAATAGTTTCAAAAATGGCATGAAAATCAATATGGTGTAAGTTATGAAACTTAAATATTGTTATATATTATTTACAAAATTGAAAATTGAATTTCTTTGGTTAACAAGGATTATATTTTAACTAATACAAGTTATATTTTGTAATAAAAATAACATAAGAGATGTTCTTGTACAAAACATGAGCCATATTTCTTAGCTATTAAGACAATATTTTCTATTACATTTGAACAGTTGAACTCATTTTTTTAAGTCCTAACTGTTGGAAAAATAAAACCCCACTAAAAAAAATTGAAAAGGCTTTGACAAAAAAAGGCTTATTTACTATTTCACCCCCTGAATCTCGAGGTCGGTCTCACTTAACCCCCTTGAACTCAAATTTCCTCACTTAACCACTCGTTCTCCTATTCCGTCTAAAAATTACCCCCTTTCGCTCAATGCCTTCGCATTGACCTGTTAAATGAGCTTGTGTGGCACAGAAAGTGGGCCAATTCACACACGTGGTGGTGCTTATGTAGTGAGGGGTGTGTGTTGTCTCAAAGAGGGGAACTAAAAGGGGTTATTTGTTGATTAGGGTTCAAAATAGCTAGGGATTTTGGCAGAGGAAAATGGCATGACGACAAGGGATCATACCTTATATTTGCCAGTATGGGAATCCATGTCCGTTGGAGACATCGTAAGGGATCATACCTTATATTTGCCAGTATGGGAATCCATGTCCATTGGAGACATCGTGGATTGAAGCTAACCTAGGAAAGAGGTTTCAATTTTGTCAAAGGGTAAGGAATTGACATATTTGTTGATTTTTGTTAGTTTTTCAGGTTGATTTTTGTTAGTTTGTCAGTTTGAATATGTGTGTTTTTCTGATGTTGATATATGGGTTGATTGATATAAGGGAGGAACAATGGACGTGGGCATTTTGAGATGTACGATCCTAAGATGTGCCCCTATTCTAAGGCCATCATACCGAGGTTTATCTAGAATCATACAAGACTGGAAGAAGTCGTTGTTCTTCGAGCAAAGCAGAAGAAATTGTGGGCAGTTTTGATTGTTAGTTGGTTTCTGGTTTTTGCATGGGTTTTGTGGTAGATCTCATGTGTTTCGGTTAAAGGAACGGAAATGAAACATTGGAAGCATATGTGTTTTGTGGTAGGTCTCATTTTCAATGTTAGTTGTTAAAGAAATGGAAATGAGACAGTGGAAGCACTTTGCTAAATTACAACCTTGCATAGCATAAACAATTTAATACATGACATGCACTAAACTTAACACATAACAAGTAGTGAAAGGAAATTACAACCTTGCATTGATAAATCTCCAAGCAATTTGGCAAATTTTCCCTAAGCAACTTACATTCCAAGCACAAAATATACACTTCCAAGCATAAACTTTGTGCACTAGTCTCCAAAATTTGCATTCCAAACTAGTTACCAACTGTTTGCAACAAAATAACAATTGTTTGCAACAAAATACCATTCAAACTAGTTACATTCCAAATCAGATTCCATCCAAACTAGCTATAAAATACCATCCAAACACAAAATACCAATGATTATGTGCCTATTTCTGTCTATTTGCTAGATACTTGAATCTACTTTTAATAGGTGGAAATGGTTTTGATTAAAGAACTTGTGGAGCAGGTTGTGAGTGCACTTGACTTGGTCCAGCTTCTTATTGCACTCGATTTGGTCCACATCTAGGTCTTAATTTCCTCACCTTTTCAAAATGACATGCAGTTCAATAGGGATACATATGTTCTTAGAACCAAAAATATATAAGATTTTGGAAAACTCACATCAAGTT